CTTTGCTTTCTCTGTCCACCATCCATTTTTAATGCGACGGAACTCTTGAGTTAGTCCTCGTCGAATTCCGCGAAACTGACTCTTCTTCCCCAAGTCACTGGGGTTTGTCACATGTGCATCAAAGGTTGCATTCTATTCCGACACCAATGCGCTACCCGTCGCATTGTTCTCATCAAACCAATCAGGCCGAATATAGTTTGCACGCCCAATGGTTTCCTCGGCAGCAGCTGTCACCTAGTCGCGAATGTGGTGCCACAGGTTGCTCACTGTGGCTATGCATTCTACATCACACAGGCGTGAAGCCATCGCCTTCTCCAGCTCATTACATTTCGTCACAGTACCGAAGGATAGAATGTTAAATTTTCCGCCGATTCACTGCAGGAGTACACTATATATAGTTTCGAAAATATAGGTACAGTTTGATCCCAACCAATTTGTGATCAGTGCCACACTCAGCTCCACGCAGTACACGTGTCATGCGCACTTCACGCAAGTCCCGCTGACGTACGGTGACATAGTCGAGCAGGTGAGCGTGACCACTCCGTGGGTGCGTCCAGGTTGCTATATCACTCGCACTCAGTGCAAACCGAGTGTACGTACTCGTCATGCAGTGAGTGGCACAGTGAGAGCAGCCTGTCACCGTTCGCATTCGCTGAGGCAGTGCAATGCGTACTGATAACATCTGTCCACACGGATGCACCACGCGCAACGCCCGCGTTGAAATCACCTAGTAAGAATAGTCGGTCGCTCCTCGGCACAGACCGTATCACGGAGGATACCTGAGTGTAGAATTGATCACGCGTGTCATCAGGATAACACATGGTCGGATCGTACGTACTTATAAAAGTGGCGAACAATCATCAGTCGCGCGTTGATGCCAGTCAGCTCACCCATCAGGTGGCCATTTAGGCGATCGGATATTGCAAATCCGACCCCATGTACACATGGTGCTGAGGTGACGTTGCCCACTCAGTAGAACGTATAGCCAGCACCCGCTTCATGCAACTTACCTTGCTCAGCGATCCTGGTCACACTGAGCGCCGCAATATCGTTGTTGTAGACCGCCAGTTTCATCGCGACCAGTACAATACGTCGCTTGGGGCGCTCACTGGACTTCCGGTTCAGTAGTGTGCGCACGTTCCAGCATCCGATGCTGAGTGTTTTGCGCACAGACATACGATTGCATTGGTGGGCATTCGCACGCGAGATGGCTGTTGTGCTTTGGAGCTTTGCTTAAGGGACTCCGCCCGGAGCCTTTGGCTCAATAGCCTGACCCACAAGGCAGTGGGTTATTTGGAGGTTTGCTTGTGGGATTCCGCCCGGAGCCTTTTGCTCAATAGCCTGACCCAAAATGCAGTGGGGAGCAGATCCAGCTCGGGAATGTGATTGCAGAGACAGATTGGAATCTGCTTGAGGTCCGTCACACGCAGTCTTTAAGCTACTGGAAGGATACATATATGTTTTCCGACTGTTTTAGGATACGCACCTGCGACGACGACCAGACGCAGGTGGATTTTGGCGGGTTTGCACCAATTTGACCAGGGGCTGCCTGGCTTGAGGCGGGCAGTAGCAAACCATTGAACACCCGGAGGTGCCCTCCCACCGTCAGAGACAATGCGTGGCGCTCTTGCTCTACGCCAATCGAGCTGTGAGCTTATAACCCGTAACCTGTTGTCTCCCATGGCTAGGTATTACGGGAAGAGGGACCATCGACCACTTCCTAACCTCCGAAGAGGATGGACTAGGATACTGGCAGGGCGCCCACACCTGACAGAAGAACGACTCGGGTCCTCAGCCAAAGCCTTGGATTAAATGTACACCGGAAAGGCAGCGGGTCTAGCACATGGTCATTGCACTGACTCATGCGGATTGGACTTCTTGGTGAGCTATAGACATGTTACTCATTTCTTGGACAATCCTCCAAATTGGAGTCTTACCACAATTCACAATTCCGCTAAGTTCAATGTGGCATGCGTCGAGTTTACGAACCGTGCGACCAGTGGGTCCTGGTACCCTTTGCACGGTTGTCCGCACACACGCACATTTTTTGATGTGTAATGCAAGACAAGGGCTTCCCCGAGGTTTAAATGGCTGTTGCCAATTTACCGGAACATCGCTCTGCTGCGGTTTTACCTTTGTTCACTGTTGCACTGTGTTGAACTGTTGCACTACTTACAAGATCATTGATGCTGTCCCTCAGAGATTTTTTAATGATTGACTGAGACTGCGCGAACGTAACAGGTGCTTTGTAATTTGTGAAATCTACCGGAACGATAAACTGGGCTTCGACACTTTACCATTAACTTGCTGCATATTCACGACCGTTGGTTTCAGTGACACTTGTACTCCCAATGCCGTATTCCTAGTTGTAAATTTTTCATTTTTAATGATCTTTTAGAATATTCGCAGTGAATGTTGGGAAATGCTGAAAAGGTACCTACTCGGATACACGAAGATAATATTGACTTGATTCAAACAAATGGGCTTAAACAGGAGTCACTTGGCAACCGCAATGCTTTCGTCTCTTGAACAGTATGTTCACGGAGCTCCACGCTAAATCGGGAACACCCTCAGCCAAACACCCACGAAAATCCTCGTGCTCATATTCATAGTTCACACGTCAGGGCATTTACTTGTCCTTGACTGACCCATTTACACACCGTTCCAGAGGCCGGAGGGTTGTCTGGGCCGGTTGGCAAAGGGGCTGGATGCTTCGGCTCAGTTGGGGAAACATCCTATTCGTTACACGTACACGCACGCACACGAGTCAGCACATGTATGTGGGCAGTAGCTCTGTCAGCCTAGAATGTCGTGGAGCCAAGTCCTGGCAATTTCGCATGAGAGTAAATAAAAACCAGGGGAAAAGAATTAGTGACATTGGTGCCATGGTTTGTGCAACCAACTTTCACAGATAAGGCCAGCGACTGCAATCCACTATATCGAAATAGCGCAAATCGCTCTATTTATTAGTGAGTTGTAGTGGGGTTTATTGGGATTTTAAGCAAATTCGCCACAGCTAGACTCAGGCAGGCAGCCACTACAAATCCAGGAAAGTGCTAGACGGCCGTTTCGTCCTAGTGGGACTCGTTAGTAGCGCGAACCGCCGAATCCTACCGGATTCGAACCCATGACCTCACTGTTACGATTCAGCGATTGATGCTACTAAGCCATGGGTGCCACCAATTTGTTTGACAGGACACCGGTATCGAATGAGACCGCGGCTACTTGAGTGCCTCTTTATCTCACGAGTCAGTGGGTCGAGGTACGCTGTCCGGACAGCAAAATGATCGCAGGTTGAGTGGCTACTCACTCGACTACTCCTTGTGTTTTTCTAAACACTCTATCAACACTCCATAATTTACTGTCACCTATGCTGGATAAGGGAGACATCACCATGATGTAAACTTTAAGCCTACTCGTTTTACTTGCTCGACGAATCGACCATCAATGGCGATCCAATTACCCGCAAACTGTATCAAGGCCCGTTCACTTCTGCGCCTCACCAAATGCAATAATTTGTCATGATTGCCAGTTACCTCAAGTTACTTATGTTACAGTGCTTCTCCGTTCCAGGATTAAGTGCGTATTTGAAAACGCTTCTGGCCGGCAGATCGATGCAAAATGTCATGACTGCCTCGAGTGTAACACAACCATCGAATGAGATTTCGACGCAGTTGGTAGGTGATTTCGCTTTTGACTCCTAAATGTCTCGTAAAGTAGCGTGTAACTCTCCTGTTTTAAGTCGACAACTTCATTAGCTGTAGCCCCTAGGTTGGATGCCGATTTTATGACCGCGCATGGTCGAACTCGCAACTTCTTCACGTGGTAGTGCATCACAGAGATGTTCCCTTGAGACTTCTGATCTTCGTTCATCTGCCCACTTCGGTCACCTCCCCCTGTATGTTCACGCGATTCCTTTTGCTTTGATGTCGAGGTTGCCTGCAAATGTGATACTCATTCACACCATCTGAAACCCAGCCGTCAAAACACACACTCGCTGGCTTGCTAGCCTGGATTGGAACGCTTTCATGTTCTCCACCTCTACCTGATGGATTATGACCAGGACATTTTGGTCAATGGTTGTACGGGAGCTGTAGCTGGGGATTCATTCAAGATCCATCGGATACTCCGGGTCGTCAGACATTAACGTTTAGTCACCTATGACTGTCGCCATATTGGATCCCTGTTCGGTCTAGTGTTCTTGCATTTACTTGTCAGCATTCTGTGCATTTTCCTCGCCACTTTCTGTCTGCGTTACACATAGTTGACATTGGTTCGTGTTGTCGTTTTATCTGTCGAACCGGCTGACGTTTCGATCCACTTTAACGATGCCTTATCCGGGATAAGTGCGAAGTTTGCCAGACATGTAGCTCCCGACACTCACGTTTCCCGGGCTAGTGGTCCACGCATTCCTTGATTCACACGTGAAGTGCGATTTTTGACGACACATGCAGTCTTTTCACAGAGACACTGCAACGCGTCAGATAGTTTTCCCATCTTTTCCCAACCATCTTACGAATGCGAATAGCAAATAAATCAGGAATCTTGCGCAGTCAGAAAGCATGCCACCGTATTCGAAAAGCTGCGATGTCACCATCTTTAGGTATTGCTCTGTGACTCTGCCTAGCTTGTTATGCTGAGTCGGTCTACGCTCATTTATGATAATCTGTTGTGTCGTCCTTTAAAGCGAGTCACTCAGAATAGTCATTTGGGTCTTATTTAACATATTGAAAGCCGCTGGCCCTCGAGTTTGGCAACCGATTGATCATTAGTCTCAGATTGTACGGGTTTGCCATAATCAAGCATTTTGGATGCTTAGAGTTATCTTAAGTGATGTTCGCTTTTGCCCGATTTTTTCATTTTCCTTAACGTGTTCCATTCACAAGAAAAATGCTACTCGCCGTACATAGATGATTGGCGCGATCCGTTCAAAGCTTTACTTGCACGTTTACGTTCCTTGCAGCCTCTCATTCAGTCCCTGTTATTGTGTTTTTCTCTCAGTTCACTGCTGTGACCCGAAACCATGCTGCCCAGTGACAGCCGAACCGGTTCGACGGTGGTCTACACTCCCTTTGCAGCATACTCCGTGTCCACCGCGTCCACCATGGCCAGCGGAGCCGACAACCAAGGAACGGGTTGCCAGAGCGGCCCAACGACAAGCGTCTCTCCGGCCACTTCTGCAGCGGTGGCAGCGCTAACTGCAGCCGCTGCAGCCTCTGCAGGGATCTCCCCAAGCGCAAAAGATTCCCGATGGCTAACCCTTGAGGTATGTCGTCAGTATCAGCGGAATCAGTGCTCACGAGACGAGAACGAATGCAAGTTCGCGCACCCACCGACTCACGTGGACGTGCAAAACGGACGAGTGGTCTGTTGCTACGATTCCATCAAGGTGAGTCACTCATGCGGTCCCCTTGTGTGCATGCGATCAGTGCATGCTGGGGTCGGTCAGTGACTGTCTTGCAGTTCGAATTAGTCCAGTTGCATTAAGCAGTGCTCCACGGATCTGCCGCGCAAAAATGAAACTAAGAAGATTATCGCACTGTCGGCAGAAAACCGAACCGAACTACACATGAATAAATAAATAAATAAATAAATAACTGTTTTATTCCCGGCAGTGCGGGACACGCCTGCGAAGGCATGATCATGGTAATACAAACAGGTATGCTTGGTAATTGTATAAAGAAGATAGCCAGTTAACCTGTATCATGCTATATTTATTTGTCTGTATGTATGTAAGTCTATGTGTTAGTGGGCATGGGGAGTGAACTTGTGACGTGTGACTGAATGCGTGAGTTTGTTTGCTGTGTTCGCCATCACATGAAGGGATCAAAGATACTCTTCGAACTGGATGATTTTTTTGAAGTGGGGATCCTCCGGAAGGGGAAGTGGCAGTGACTTTATTTAGTGGCGAGTCACATGCGCCGCGTCGCAGTGTTGTTAAACGGACCTTTGTGGTTTTTGTAGGGAGGACACTTGCCAAGCGAAAAGCCACCACGTCCTGGAACACTGCCGCGTAACTATTCGCTGGAACGTGATTAACCCGAACCACCCAGTTGGCATCACGTGGATGTTATTCGGCTAGCCAGCCGAATTCATGATTTCAGAAAGGTTTGAAAACAACCGGTTTGCATAGTGTGTGGGCAACATTTCGCTTTTGACACAAAAGTTTTGTCAGACCGTATGAACCAGTCGATAGTTAGTATGGCACTTATAACGAACGGGGAAGTTACTCGCGACGAATGGAAGTAGCTAGGTCAATCGGGTAACAGGTCAAAGTGTCACTCCGAGTAGTGCATGGAACGATCACAAGTAGTCCGCGTTACAATGTCACACATGTAAGCCCTGTTAACGACGGGTGCGGGGATGATGTGGTGTTCATTCTCTGCCCTGGACCCATCCGCTGGCGCTCCTCAGACTGGTCGGGTTAAGGCAACCCGCCACATCTTCGAAAGCTCTGGCCTGTCCATTCTGTTCACACAGCTGTGCACCTTGCTAATCTCGACCGCCTCAGCAGTCAGCCTTTGGGGCGTTGACCTTAACCCCCTTTTAACGACTTCGACGTTATCCAAGTCGATCTCATGACCTGTATCTATCACATGTATCGCTACTGCCGAATCCCTTAGTAGAGCCCTATATTCAAGCTTGTTCATCGGTGGTCGTGTTATGCGTCTGTCGTGTTCTGCTACTCTTGTGCGTGGCTCTCCCGCGGTTTGCCCGATGTACACGTGTGCGTAGTCTTTGCAACTGATTTTGTAGACGCAATTAGTTGTCCTATCTGGGGGAAGTGGGTCTTTCAAGTGCACCAGTGTAGGGCAGAACGTTTGGTCTTCCTGGACAATTACCCTTATCTTTCTTTGTTTAGGACCCCCTGATGGCCTCTGAAGTTCCATCTTTATAAGGAATTCCCACCGTCCCAATCCACTCCGTAGTATGCCGTGGTTGTGGATTTAAAATCCGCTCCAACTGATGTTTCCCTAACCGCCTCTGGTATCCACTACCAAGTAATTGGTCCATTTCTTCCTTCTGGGCGACCTTTTTATGCTCTTCTTATGTGCATAGGGTCTGGGCTCTGTGAAACAGAGATGAGGCGATTCCACCATACACATGCTTTGGGTGACCTGAACTGTAGTGGAGTACACCATCTATGTCCCTCGGCTTACGAAATATCCTTGTTTTCAGACTACCTGTGAACTACGCAGTCAAGAAATGGCAATTGTCACCGTAATATTCCAGTTTCATAGTGACATTTATAGTCTGTACACGAGTGTGCAAATGGTTTAGGAACTCGTTTATCTTATCCAGTTTTATCATCACAAAAGTATCATCCACGTAACGCCACCAAATTTTCAATGAGCTACTAGAGTCAACTAGCGCTCTCTTTTCACATTTTTTCATCGACAAACTTGCCAATCAAAGAGATAATGACGATCTCATGTCAACTTGCTGTTTCTGAGTGTATACTCTAGATTGGAACGTGAAATAATACATCTTAAGGTGTAATGACATTCCCTCAGATATTCGATTTACCGTAACCTTCATCCTGTCTCCCAAGTTATTGTTCCTAGTTAATCAGTGTCTCCCTACCTCCAAAGTCTCGCATATTGGCACGCTGATAAAGAGCGAGATAACGTTGAAATTGACCATTATTCCATCCGACACAATCTTACGACACGACACTTTTCGCGCCAACTCATAATATGTCTTTACGAATGTATCCGTTCGCCCACTCTATGGTTGCAATAGGCTAGCCAAATATCTAGCTAGTATATGCATCGGGGATCCTGTGCCATCTACAATAGTTTGAATCGGTAGATCAGGCTCACGTAGCTTCGGTAAATCATATACTATCGGTGGAAAAATGGATTTCGGGCATAAGTTATACCATTTTCTCAGTCCTAGGTACTCTTTTAGGCTTTTTAAGTAATCACTAACGTCTGCCTTATTTCTTCATGACTAATGTGACAGTCTCATTGTCGATAACATTATATGGTCCTGTCAGCAGGGCTTCCTCTAATTTTCTAACTAATCGATTTGTTCATTATCACTGTGGTCTTGCCTTTATCGGCTTTTGTGATAAAATATTTGGATCTTCTCTTAGGTCAGTTAATGCGATGCGTTCCTCTGACGCAAGAGTTGGCAACAACAGTCTCTGAAATTCGATAAAATTTACAACTTCTGCACAGATGTGCTCAACCGTTGAAGTGGGTAACTTCGTTAAAGCGGCCTTAATACTAAGAATAGCATGTGCTCTTCTCTTCGATTTACTAATGCCTAGTGGGGTTTTGGTAGAATTCAGATAATTCGTCATGGCCATTCTCAGGTTGAAACACCGGTGTCTGGTGCTTTTCCAGACTTGCCAATGCCTGATGACTGAGAGTGGCCATGATGAATTGTCTTGGATTTATTGTTTGGATTACAAAACCCGCGCATGATTGTAGCACTCCTGGTATGGGGTGTTGGAATCTGTTTCTTTGATATAGTCTATATATATATATATATACATATATATATATATATATATATATATATATATATATATATATATATATATATAAGGATGCCACTTGCTGGAATGCTGGTAAGTGGAGACAGTCACTTCCTCAATACCGCACAGGCTTCAGTTTCTTTTTGGACACATACATATCAACATACAGTGACCAAGTGACAAGTCGCCTGAACTTCTACTTTGATCTACTTTTACCATGATCTCTGCTGTCCGATGGAAACCATTATCATATTTTGTGATTGGTTTTCTTCACCACACCTCGATCAGCTTCCTAGACTTAAGGAAAGTGCTTTGAAAGCAACAATCATGTTTTGTGGAAGTCCCCTTCTGCTCGTATTAAGGAAGAAGTGTACCACCGTAAGCATGTCTATGTACAGACAACTCTTGGAAATACTAGTTGACATGAGGATTGGTGAGTGATGAAACAGCTCTGCAGAGTTACCCATCAAAGCACAAGTTCTGACCTGGACGTGGAAGAATGAATTCTTAACCTGCTGCACTAGAAGGGACTCATTCTCGGACTCAACATTTGCATCGTTTCAGTGGTTTACGGATTCATTGCCCCCTGTCGATGTCGCTTCACTGCACAAGAAGCTATCCTAGCTGCGCTCGGGCAAGGCATTCGGACCTGACAGGTTTTGTCCCGTCGTCCTCTAACAGTATGCCTATTCCTTATCCCAGACATTACCTGAGTTATACACAGGCTGCGTAAGCAGGGAAATATCGCGGTTGTTTGAGGGATTGTTAGCCTAACGGTAGTACCGAAAAGAGGGACGAATAAATATCAGACTGTTGCATCCACCTCGGTGGCTTTGAAGCTTTTTGAGAAAAACATTCTTGAAAACAATGCCGACGCAATCCGTTTGGATGACCCATATCAGATTGCGTATAGAAGTTCAAGATCCACACAAGATGCAGGGGTTTGTCTAGTGCATTCAGTGTTGTGATCGCTAGACAGTAAGAGCAAATCCACACGTGTCTGCCTCCTCGACTATAACAACACTTCCGGCGATGTTGACCGTAAACCGCTGTCACAAGACCTACAGTTTCCTGGTGTTCAATTTTGTGTCGGAACCACGCGACTGCTTCCAACAAGTAACGGTAGCGAGAACAGGAAACACCAAGCACAATGACTCAAAGATTCTCCTACATGGGGAAACCACTTCGTCACATACCATGACGCACAAGCATGAACGCCAACCAGGGTACGGAAAACGTGCGGACAAGTGAAGCCAATAAAGACTGCACAACTAAGGAACCAATCAGTCGCACACAAAGAACGGAAAGTGCGAATGTTAGTCTCAGAGTAGGACTACGCTCTGAAGGAAAAAATAACGACTCCAAATAGCCAATAGGGATAGCGAAATGAAACGTTAAAACAAACATCAGTGCACCACCAGAGCTAAACGGAAGTATGCGGTCATGAGCATACATGCATACCCGTATTTTTATTGTTCATCTAACACCCTCTTCTTCAGAAATAACTTCACCTCTGATCCACATGGCTCTTCTGACTGGGAATCCATCTGGGTCCACTTGGATCCGCGACCATAGCGGTTCGGGCTTCTACCAAGACAGCAATGCCTTCCGTACAGGTAACTTGCAACCACGCTAACGTGTAGAGCAGGTACGGTCAATATTGCGAACGATAAAAATCATATCCAAACTCACATGACTCAGTGGCTCTTTGAGTAAATTTAACTTCCTGATCCAATCGGTTCCGGGCAGATTAATATCGGTGCAGAAGGCTGAGTGGATAGTCCCATAGAACTGTGGATCCCTGAGCCTGAGTTTGCAATTGAATCTTCCTTTCAGCTGCAAAGATTCTTCTAAAATATTTTGCACCGTTAGAATTATACGTCTGAATGATGAAATACAAAGTC